CATTTTCTAAAAAAGTTCAAGAACGTACTACATCCGAAATCATATGTTTTGCTGGAATTGGCAGCTTGAAATTTTTCTCACTAAAATGTATTGTTAAACAGCCTTTTTTGACTATTACTTGTGGTGTCAAATATAAAGCCTCTTCCATATTCCCTCTCCATAGGAAGCGGACGCACTCAGGAAGTAGGCCGGTCGGAAGCCAGTGCTACTCGCTGACAAGGCTGCCGATAGCTCCCTCTTTTGAGGGTTACTTACAAGTACGTTGATAATGGATTTGAGTTCCCGGCAAATATCAATACCAATCTGCCATCGAAACAAACAAATGAATTGTGGAGAGACTGGTTGTCTCGGTGGCGCATTTGAACCCTCGACTCTCAGCATGACAGCAGCGCTACTTTTTTAAAAGTAATTTCAAAATTAAAATCTCCCTCCGCTACCCATTGTTCTAGAAAAGTTTATGAGAAGCGGAGGCAATCGGAAATATTTCGAGGGTAGCAAGTGCCAAGAACAACCGGCCGTTAAAGGCTGGGTTAGACGTTTGTTCGGACACAAAGCTAAGCGAGTCCTGAAGCTGCATCGGCGTGTTCAGGTTTTCCTGGACAGATAATGGATAAAAAAAATGTCTTACATTTTTTGGATCCCTTCTTCTTCTTGCCTGCAAAATACGGTTACTTTTAGAATTCTTTTAAAAAAAAAACAATTCAAATATTTACAAATAGTAGTTATTTTGAAAATTGTGCGAATATTTTTGAAATATTTGCAAAAATCGTCAGATTTTAGGAGAGGTAGGAGCGGGCGCAGAGGAATGAGGAGAGGGGACTGAGGGAGGGGAGAGCAAGAGGTGGGGTGGAACTCGCGTACATATGAGTAAGCTGACGACATTAAATTATATATATATATATATATATATATTTATGATGTTATCCGACTGCCGAAAAGCCTTAAGTGAATGGTAGATGACTTAAAATGGGAGGTTTTCTGGGGGGTAAAATGCATTTGTTCAAGCGAATGGCAGGGAGTGGGACAGTTCGGCAAGGCTGCTCGAGGATTCTGGAGCACAAAGGACGCAAACACTTACTGCTGCCCTTGCCTTTCTTTTTCTTCTTTTTAGCCTTGTCCTTGGGATTTTCAGCCGCCGAGGATGCTCCAGTGGGTGCTGTCGCTGTCGAAGCACTGAAAACAGAAATGCCACTGACGGAAATTGCGCAGCAAAGAGGCAAAGCATGTCTCCGCGCTCCGGATAAGCGATTGGAGAGCGTTTTTGCAACCAATTATGCGGAGAAGTGAAATCCGATGGGCAAGACATGCTGCTCGCTTGTTAGCGAGTGGTACGCGTGAGAACGAAAACAATAATTCGAAGAAGCGATTGCACGGGCAATGAGTATTAGCTAAAAGCACGCTACTCAATTCGAGACACTTGTCCTTCCTCCGAAAGCTAGATCGTATATTATCCACTACTTTAAAAGTCATGGGCAATACAAAAGATAGAATGGAAAACTGGGACTTGCACGACCACACAAGTTGGTTTGTAGCTTCTGTAGAGTACTGGCAAAAACGAGAGACAATTAAGACCTGGGTGTACCGGAGGAGTCCGCTGCCGATTGTGCAGG